AGAAGGATTTCATAGCGAAGCCTCTTAGTTACCTTTTAAACGTGGATTATGAGGTGCCCACGTACTTTTGAAACGCACTGTAGTTTCGTATTTATTCCTTGGGTTCCAAATGCAGTACGGGATTCTGATTTGGCAGGATTTCTATGAAACCAGAGCCATTTCATTTCGTTCCACTGTTTTAGCGCTTTCCATCTTTACTATTTTTTATTAAGATACGTGACTATACAACAGTTCTCAGTTGTTGTTTATTGTATATCATTCTTGTAAGAACAGGCGGACATGGAACTCAAAAAAGTTTAGGTCTCTTGTCCACTGAAACAGCTCTCGATCCGAAAAGCGATGAGTTTCCGGAGCCTGTGTTTGTCACAGCAACGTCGGACAATCACTTTAGGGAAGCACTAACACTGGTGACTTTTTCATTTTGAGAATTATTCCTACCTTCCTTATACAACAAAATTTTCTTCAAAGAACTTGTTTTGCGTAAGATATAATGCACCATAGAAGTAAGGGCTAAATGAGGGTAAGGAATGAGGGAAAGTCCAAAATCTCTACGGCGTTCAAATCACGCTTCTTTGACGTCCCGTCTCTCCCTCTCGCTTCCTTATGAAACATCTGGCTTCTACATGTTTGTGATAGCATTGCGTTGAACATTGGCTCGCTTCTGCAAGTCACATATTGTTAGCGACAAGAAGCCTTTAAATGTTGATACAAATATAGGAGGGAGGTACGAGCTATCGTGGAGGACATGGAAATTCCACATGGATTTGTAATCTCAGCGAAACAATTGACTGCGATTCTCTCAATAACAGCAATCAGTTGCTTCAAAAAAATTCAAGGACTCAGACGTGATTGCCTAAGCATTTCAAGGGTGAACATTGATTTGGAATTCACTAAACGGCTTGCTACTAACAGGAGAGATTTCAGTTCGAAAATCGCTATGAATAACCGATCAAGCAGAAAAACCAAATTCGAAATAACAAAATAAGGCCTTCTCAACATCCTAATACAGGAATCTTTGAGATAGCTTATGATAGGGGAAGGGTACATCATTGATTGATTTCTCCGAAGGGAAATAAAGTTAGAGCTAGTTGTCGGTTTGGTCAATTTTTGTCGGCGGACCTCCCATTTCGCAGGCCTAAAATTTGAAAACCATGGAACAAAGATGGAAGGTGAACACAGCCTCTTGTAGAAAACTCTCTTTCAAACGATACATAAACTGATATAAAACAATTTAACTTTGCAGAATTCTTTTTGAACAAAAACGCCACTACTTATGATACAAGCTAATACATATGTGGTACATTTGAACTACTAATTCAACCCAACTTTATCAAAATCTACGACATCAAATGCCGAGCTTTCAGCAAAGGACGACAGGGAGATCACTGTGGAAAGAGAAACTTTCGAGGCACTGAAAATAAAAACATCAAAATCAGAAAAAAAATGGCCAAGGCAGATTCCGCGCTTTTTCATCTGAGTGACTGCTGTCAGTAGTGCGCAATGATAGCGATATTTTGTAGCGCTGCGATCGAAGCACACCTATGGTATTCTAGAAAAGACTAAAGCAAGAAATACCCTTGCATAATACCCCTAAGTTACCAAATACCCCTAAGTCTCAGTACCAAATACCCCTAAGTTTCAGTCTCTTACGATGAATATTTCGAAGTATGACATTGTCCAAACATTCAGATCAGCATGGACAGAAAGAATATTGAAGCTTTTTCACAAAAAGTTCGATTTAATTTGGCGTTTAAGTCTTATAGATTGCAAGTATACGGAAACTGTGGCCGCAGAAGAAGATTGTCGTCTACAACTTGGGACTAAGCCCGAAGATTATACAAATGTTGAAGGTACTAAGCTATCAACTATCCAAGCTTTCTCTTTGTTTCAACCAAATTTCGGCACTATTGCACTATCACAGGCCCAGTAGGGATAAAACGGGTCAAAAAAATTTTTTCGCTGAAACTCATCCAGGGGGTTATCGAAGGTTCCTGATCACGAATATGAGGTTGGTTTTCGGCGCTGGCGCCAAATGGCGCTACGACTGAATCTCACCAAATTCGCGGTAAAGTTGCAGATAGGGGTTATTTGAAGCCCTGATTACAAATATGGCATTTGTTTCTATCTCTTGCGCTGTTCTCACGCTGATTTCCAATTTTTCTGGGCTCTCTCACTTAACACATAAGACTAAGCCTAGGGAAAGGGAGTGATTGCGGTGTAGTGGGTAACCAATACGGGTATGGCAAAGTCAAAGTGTGTGTGTCACGAGATGGACGGGCTTAGGCCCGATTGCGATCTAATTAGTGCGAGGGCGCAGACGAGCAAGAACAAGCACCAAATGGCGCTAGCGACAAAAACGAATGTCATATTCGTACTCAGGGCTCCAAATAATCCCTATCCACAAGTTTACAGCGAATTTGGTGGAATTCATTCATGGCGCCATCTGGTGTCAAATGGCGCCAGTTTGTAATAGCGCAACAGTGCCCAAATTTCTATTGTGAACCGCACTATTCGCTACTTTTTATAATTTTGAAAACGTTTTGAGGCAAAATGTTTCGTGGAGTTGCGCAGTTTTCCCATTCTCTACCTATCCGCCTTATCTTATGAAATCCAATTGGATCAGTATAGATGGAAACCCCTGCTGATCGCGGTTTGTTTTGTTTTCTCTCAGTTCCACTTTATTGCACTATCCGTCCCTATACTCTCACAGCTGAAAAATCAGTCTTTTTGCGGAGAAAGAATTGTTTTCTCTGCAAGGGAAGACAAAACAGATCCCGTACCTACGGAATTTTGGAATGGGCTCCGAAATACAGCAACATCAACAAATCAGTGGTTGTCGAGAAGCCGAAAAACAAGGCATTGCATTGGGAGTTGGTTTTTGAGGCTGTCATTACGAATGACTTTCTTGTGGATTGATTCCGAGTCTTTGATATGACCACTATTGAATGCGATGTCACCTATGCATATATTGCTACAGGGACTGACTTTGGAAGCATTTGGAATTTTCGTGGCAGAAGTCAGGCTTAACGCGCACGTCGGCGCCACGACCCGCCTTCGCAGCACTGCAGGTGTGGCGACATCGTAGGAATGCCCATCAGACTTGGCGATTGCGCAATCGCGTTGCAAAAATGCAAGCGACGAGCGTTGGCTCTGCCTGCGATCGATATGAATGTTGACGGCAGAGCTAAGAATGGACTCCTGCTGGCGACTGTATGCTGTGTCGAGGCGGAGCCAACGCCAATCGCTTGCATGTGCAATTAAGAAGTATTCGGAGCAAAAACTTCCATTAAGATGGCGGTGAAGGAATTCGGAGCCGTCTGGTATATGGATACATCGATACGATGGAAAACAGATCGATTAAACCAGGTGTACGACGAGATTCGATGTCGGAAAGATCACGGCTGGTCGGAGTGAGTGCGTCGACCTATTTCTTGTAGAATGAGTTTTCGCAGCATAAGTTACATGTTTATATGGAATGCGAGATCTGCACAAATTGTCACGGGAGCTTGTTGGATTCAACGGGATCTCTACGATAAGGTTGGAGCTCGAAGAAAAGTATATCTAGTCGAGAGGCAGGTGATCCCCTCAAAGGTGCGGGACGATGCTCGTTTCGCAACGATGGGTATGTCCTAACGGCCTAGCAGGCTGTAACCCTCAACCATCTAAGTCTAGTCTTTTAGTGGAGAGAGCGTTAGCGTTGAAGAGGGCAGCATCCTCAAGGGTCAAATCGATGTGGAAATTCTATTTTCTATGTTTATGTTTTTTTCTGTTTGTTTTCTTTTTCTATGTTCATTACTGGCCTTATATCGTACACTCTGCCCCTAAGTTGTACAGATAATCGTAAAGCGCTCATTCGTGCATTTAGGTGGGGTCACGTACGTCTACCATTCAGAGCCCCAGGGCATTTTATGATAGCATTGGAAACAAAATGAATGAGGCATTATTACGTTACCCTTAAATTGGCTTGGTTCTAACCGTTTACCATAAAAAGGAAGAGGCTTCAGTGAATAAGGCGGATTATGTTGTGCAACTATGTGCGCTATAACAACGCCTCTCACCATAATCCCAAATAAACGTCCGTCAAATAAACGTCAAATAAAGTTATTGTACGTGGGCTTTTTGAAAGCCCCAGAAAATACATTATGAACATTTTAATTGCAGATCGAGGAACTATCTGAAGGATCC